ACATTAACGCTAAGCCGACACGACGTTGCTAGCACACTGCCACGTCATCGACGGTTTTTCATGTCTCCAACTGTGCTCATTTGTAGATGAACAGAAAATGGTATAGGCGCAAACCATGTTTGTGAAGTAGCTTCCACTTAATGGCGTGCCCAGGTCCAGACAATAGGGCAAGCCAATATTGACCTGTCATGTGGTGGTATCGCAAGAGAATCCACCTCTTAAGACGCCACCATATGGGATAAAAATATATTTCTCATTTCGGTCCATGATCTTTCTACAAGGCTAGTAAAAGCCAGAAAAATATCATAGCTATATCATAAGTAAATGATTCCACTAGAAACTTCGGACTCGGAAGGCAGTTCCTAGTCCCTTTTATATAAAAAGAAATCCTTTTGTTATTTCCATTTCTATAAATGGACTTTTGACTGAGGGTTAAGTACCTATCTAACAAAATAATGAAATAAATTCACCTTTCATAACTTCCTTCTAAAATCCTTCGGTAATTTTAAGGAATGATATATCTGAACCTTTTTTTTTTGGCATTTAGCATCCATCCACGCAACAATTGTAGTAGGAACGTCGTTTTTCCACTACAATTTTTCAAATAGGTAAAATAATATATGTAACACTAAACAAAGACTATTTCAACAAGTATTTACAAAAATCTATTAACGTAAACAGCGTTGAAAAATCCTCAAAACAAACATTCAATCGCCTACAACGCGCTAGCCCCGACTGCGTATGTTACCCTGGGCACAGAATAAATAATATTACTACGTACAGAAGTTCACTCTTTTGATGTTAACTGCTTGCCGACGTTTAATAGCCTACATAATTCTTATTAAGTATTACTTTGCACCTTTTCTCATTCCCACATCACGGCTGTTTCACAGCGGTGACACTCCCTATACGTGAGAGCTTAAGCGCCGGTGACCTTGAGTCGAAGCGTGTAACGTTAGGGTTGATATCGAACCAAAATGGAATATTATAGACTTGTACCAAAGAAGATACATAGTAGGTATATGTTATATATTATGTAAACTTATGTATTTGGATAGTGAAAGATACGTTCATGTTTAAATCAACTTTTATTAAATGAGGAATATTAAAACTTCCGACAAAACCAAATATGCACGACAGTTAATGGTAATCTTAAATAATTAACCAACACTTAGTATTTCAGTATGCAATAATCAGTATTACCTACTATCCTTTAAAAATAATTTACTCTTATATATTTTTTAATTTTTTGATTATTTTTTTAATTTTCATTATTATTTCTAGCAATTGCAAAAATTCGTAGCATGTGTATTTTTTTTAGAAAATCCAAAGGTATGCAGGTTTCCTGGGACATGGCGGCCAACAAATTGTTCCCTATGTGTTGAGGAGATGTCATTTCTATTTCTAATGAAATAATCCATAAATACAACAATGAACAAATACAAAAACTCTTTATACATATCTAAAATTTCTTTACTCTCTAGGGGCATTTTTAATAGTGTATATTTCAGTTTATGTAATATAATAAAATTATTGGCGACATATTAATTTTATTGTCATGGTATTTCCCCATAATTCTTGTTAAGATCGTATCGACTTTCATTAAAATGAGTTCACATATTTTTAGGTATCATAAAACATTATTAAAAATTAAACTCACAAAACAAGGGCCCTTATTTTGTGCAGTGGTATTTATTTTAACTCTAATCACTTAAAATCACTTTCAGTAATACTTATACATATACTATAATATCATTTATTTAATAACAACATTAATATTTATCAAAGCATATAAACCTAGCATACACGGCTATAAAAACTAATAACGTTACTTGGTAACATAAACTTAATACCTACATGAATAGAATAGTAATATGTACATTAAGATATCAGTAATATTCATATATTAATTGAAATAGTTATTTGAATTAGTTAATATGAATATATTCGTCACTTGACGAATATATTCATATTAACTAATACTGACAAATATCGGCATTACTACTAGCCCTCGGTCAGGGCGGTCGGCGACTGCCCGTTCCACGCCCCGCGCTTCTCTCAAGGCCCCCGCAACCATCCAGACACCCACAAATAGCCGCAAGGGACTTTACGTGCACACATGCTTAAGTGTCGTTTCTTTTCGCGTAGTGTACATATTCTTTGGCTGTTTTTCCGAGGTTACTTAGGGCTGTCAAGAAAGAGTAAAAATACAGTATGTACAACATTAATAATTTATTTAATTCACAATTGTTTTACTTTAATATAATGTTTTATAAATTTTTCCGTCTCTAAAATACCAGTTATTAAATTTAAGAGTTGAAAAAACTTTAAATCTTATATATAATTTTAGTAAATAATAAAAGGAAAAAAATGGACATGGAGTATCGGAAGAGTCATCGATTTATTTTTGGTAAAAAATATGAAAAGATATTCATTCACTATACTAACTAGAAACAATAAAAATAGTATTATTAATTTTATTTATAAATATTGTTGTATTAATAGTTTTATTGTTTTATATTTCTTTATTTTACCTAAGATTTTTAATATATATTCCCCTCCGCTCCCTTTGTCAGCAAAGGTAAGAAAAAATTTAAAGCCCCGAGGACATAGTAATACTAAAAGGCTCCCTTTCTTTTAAACTTTGTCGTCAAATTGAAAAGAATTTAGCGCATTGAAGCAATTGATTTGTTTATCAGCGCTGTGGTGGAATCCGGGAAATCCCGGGTCGATTTCTGACAGCGACAATTTAGAAGTTTATAATTTCTTGAAAACTATTTGTGTTTATTTTTATTTATACGGTTTAATATTAAAAACTGCAATGTTAGCCCGCTTTCATCTATGACTGCTTCATCGCCATTCACCGGGCGCAATCGCAGTGAATACCATAAATTTCAAGAACAACTCAATATTCAAGAACAATTTGTATGCAATATAGGTATGTATAAGAATCACTAACCTCTCCAATTCCACGCTAATTTTCAAAGGTGATTTGATTCCACATTTAATTAAGTGGAATATAGGAACAGGCAATAATATCCGCACAGAAAAATCATATAGTGATATTGCACCATATTAAAAGCACATAATATATACTCATTTATCTATTATTTATGCAAACTTCTATTTACGGATCTCCTTCACCAAGGCATAGAATAAATAATATGTAGTGCTACTCGTACGTTACCAAGGTTTGCCTGAAAGAGATCACCGTTAAGCGATGAGGTCACCTTCATCATCATCACCATTACAGCCCTTCACAGGTCCACTACTGAACATAGGCCTTCCCCAAGTAATGCCACAAAGCACGGTCCTGAGCCACCTGCATACATCGACTTCCTGCATATCTTACCAGGTCGTCACTCCATCTAGTGGGAGGTCGCCCTACACGCCTACCGGTACGAGGCTGCCACTCGATAACCTTTCTTCCCCATCGGTTATCGGTTCTTCGAGCTATATGGCCGGCCCATTGCCACTTCAGCTTACTAATCCGTTGGGCTATGTCGGTCAATCCGTCACATGAGGTCACCTAATTGTACATAAATTTATATTTTGTGTGCAGTAAAGGGATTCATTCATACGTTGCGAAATGGTAAGTAAAATAGGTAAGGTATTCTGACTGAATGAACATATTTTTGCTACTATGCGAATTCTGTGCCTAACGCATGTAACGTGCAAGGTCACTCGTTGCGAATCGCGATTTAATAAATCGCTCGAAAGAAATGTATGTAGTGTAAACAACAAATGAACCTGAAATACGATTCCTAAATGAAATGTGATTGTATTCTAATTAGTTAAAAATCTTGTGAACAAAGTTTTAATTTCAGTGCTTTGTGATAACTTAAAATAGTTTAATTACAAAAGACATGTAAGTTGCCTACTTCAATTTACCTAAGTAAATTTCATACGTTATCTACGTAAATTTCAACTAAGTTTTGTAATAAAGTACTTAGGTATTACTTCTGTATTTAAATTATTACTTAATTCTTTTTGCTATAATTATTTATTTGACAAAAAAATTGAAATTATTATACCTTTCATTATCCTTAGGTAAGTTAAAAAATGATATATCTGAATCCTTTTGTTTGCTCATTATGCATCCATCTACGCAACAATTATAGTAGGTTCGAAGTTTTGCCATACACATATATTATTTTTAAATCACATAAATTTTTTTGAACTATTTTATCTTACAATTAAATACTAAACGCTAAAAAAGTGTTTACAAAAAACTATTTACGTAAACAGCGTTAAAAATACATCAATCGCCTACAAATTCACCCAAATCGCGATTTTAGGTAATTATTTCACGCAGGTAGCAAGAGTGACAGAGGGCTGGTAACAGTTAGTTCAGTATTTTCTTTCTTCAAGATTTAAACACAACCTAAATAAATACAGTCCACTTAGCTCTCATTCATTTACACAATAGTTTCTTTAAGTTTATTAGTCAGATAGATATCACAATTTTTTATTTTCTTCTTTCTTCACCAAAGTAAATTATAATAAATAATTAGTCAAATACAGTCCACTTAGCTCTCCATCAACTACAATACATACCAATGATAATCGTTAATAGCAGTGTTCCCTTTCAGGCTTACTTCACGTACTAATTTCTAATTTTATAGCTAGTTGTGGGGTAAATTTTTCCTCACACTTGTAACCCTAAATATAGTGACGTATTGTTTTTGTCTCTTTCTGCGACACGCTATGGCGGTGTCTATAGGATTCTCTGTCTACGATCTAAATCCTATTTCTACCTGCAAATAAAATTAACAATGTCTGCAATTACCTACTATTATAAAACATAGTTCAATAATAACATAATATACACTAGATACCTTTCAATACACACATATCTTTTATATTTAATTATAATTGTAGCTACCTACTAGATATCTATTGCCAGAAAATTTTAATAAATTTATCATTGAGTTTTATTTTAGTAAGTAGTAACTACTAAGCACTCTCTGTTGTCGTCTTGTCTGCCCTCTGCCCGTATCATGTCTGATAAAGGTAAGATAATATTTTTAATACGCTTTATTAAATAATATTTACACAGTTTAACTAAATATTAGTAATTGTATTAAACGAAACAATTTACTAATTTTTATGTTTCAAAAGATACAAAAAGATATGTTTTGCTTTAACTCGCTACGTATTTATTTGTACATAAAACGCTACGCAAGTACCTACTTATTATTCCGTAAAAATCATTTAAGTTTATTTAGTAAGTTTTATTTTAAAATAAATAAATATATTAATTTTAATCAAAAAGATCAGAAAATGTTCCTACAACCTTCATCAATATTCAGCGAAGCACTATGTAATCAATGTAACCTTCTTACCTTTTGGCTTTAATTTTGGCTACAGCTAGCAAATTGTTTGGGTTGGCTATAGATATCCGGTACTTGATTTTAATTATGTTTTCAGTTTAGAAGGCTTGTCAGGGTTAGGCTTGAACCTTTTACATGTCAGACATTGATGTCGGAAATGCGTTTTGAATTGATTACGATAAAAACAAATTTTACTAAAAATTGCTTCTAACGAAACGCAAATATATACGCTAGTAATATATAAGTCCATGCAAATATGTCTATTTGTACTCATATTATGAAGTAGACGTCCGGTACTTGATTTTTTAATATTATTTTCAATTTAGGAGGTTTGTCAGGGTTAAGCTCGAATCTTTTACACTGTTTTTGATTTCGGAAATGCCTTTTGAATAAATTACGATAAAAATAAATTTCACTAAAAATTGCATGTAACGAAAAGCAAAGTTTTTTAAACATATATTACACTCATAAAAAGTTAATTCAACACTCGGACCCAGATAATCCATTTGTGGCTGAAGACAGGACTCATATACAACAAATTGAGTCGCAGTGGAGAGCAGTCAAGAGGTTTTTCAGAAAATAAAATTATAACAATTCACATTACATTATTTCATTTACCACTATCATAGCAGAATTTAGGGAAACGGAAGGGAATTAGAACGCCCCGAATTCACATAGTCTTGTCTGCCCTACCCTAGAGTGTTTTTGTATAGCCGTAGTAGGGCAGAGGGAAAGCAGCCTCCGCCCGCTGTAGCAAATTGCAGGCCCCTGAGTGAGCCGAAGCTGCGGAGGCGCGCATGGGTGCCGTGATCTGCTACGCAAGGGCGAAGGGGCTGCACTTCCCGCAGTGCCGAAGCCGTTGCAGAAGTAATTTTTGGCAATATTCCTGTGTGAAAAAGTGAGGTTATGATTTTACAAAGAAAAATACTCACAAATTATATATTTCCGCTCCTGAACCCTCCCCCTCCCCCTTCAATCCCACCCTCCACCGTACGCGCGGATGTCTATGGTTTAACCAATTGTTTTATTTAAATACATTAATCAAGTTAATTTAATAAAAAGTATCACATAACTACTTAACATACTTATTTTAATATAGTAAGGTTCATGTCTTGCTTTGCAAGATCTGCTGATTATTTTATGAGATGTTATGCTCTCTAGTGCATGTTACTCGCGGTTACTTCAGACCAAAGAGTAAGAGAACTTCAGACACTGGTGTGATTACGAAACAATAGGTATTATACTAATGGTTACGTCATTCGTTTGGATATGGAAATAAGTAGTGTTAATTAAAAGAGCAACCAATTAGTGATTTTATTATAGATAATATTACCGTGACTTAAATATTCTGTACTAGCTTTGATTACAACGTCTGCATGCATTCTTAAAACGAGAGACAGAAATAAAAACTTACCGATTGTCCTTGTTAGTCTTTAAAAAAAATTACCACTAATAGGGTTTTCTTCTGTATCGTGGAGGTGTCTAACGCAAACAAATTGCAGATGGAATTTTATAAAACTTACTTCGTCTTTGTCAGTCTTTAAAAAAAGTGATGGAGGCGTTTTACATAAATAAAATGCAGATTATCCAGACACGAAACAATGATTTGAAGGCTATAGAAACACTTGTTTTTGCCACTGTCACTGCGCCACTGAGAAAGCCTTACGAAGATAATTGAGGTCTATAAGGCACATTTACTGCTATTCGCTAGAGGGCATCCATAAATTACGTGAGGTGTTTTTTAAATTTTCTGTCCCTCCCCCCTGGTGAGATGTCGTGAGATTTTATTCAACCCCCCTCCCCCATTCCCCAATCTCACGTGAGATTTTTCAAAATGTGGGTTTCTTACGTAAACGCGTTGGATTGTTATTGTAAAAAGAAAAGAAAAATTTGCTTCGTGCTTTTATTTACGACTAGTTAAGACAAGTAATCAATATTGCTGAGAGTTATAAGTGTAATAAAAATTTAACAATAGAATACTTAAATCGTGACTACTGTGATAAAAAAAAAGAATATCTACTCTAATTCGATCCATGGAGAATCATGCGCAGTCTCAAGAGAGACTATTGGAACCAACATGTCCATATGATTTTCAGTAAAATCATCTGCTCCTTAAATGCTGGGTATAAAACAAATATGGTGGTTTGACAGTCAGTAGATGTACCTATAACGTCGAAGTACGAATGAAATTATTTTCTTTCGAACGAATTAGTGAATGATCATAATCGTATTACGATATACGCTTAATTAACCATGTACAATCTGGATTAAATGGACCAAAATAGTATATTTTTTTGTTTCAATCAGAAAAAATGTTGCGTGATATTTGCCGAGACCCCCCCCTCTCTCCAACGTAAGATTAGATGAGATTTGACTCGACCCCTCCCCCCTTAAACATCTCACGTAATTTATGGACGCCCCCTTATTGCTAATTTGTATTACCTAATTTTAGCAATAAGCACTAAAAGCTAAAAAGACCCCCCCTACCCACAATTTTCGATTTGTCATGAAAATATGAAATTCGCTAAAATGCGCTATGATAGCAGACCGATTTACATTACCGATCTGGAAATGCTTTGTGCGAAGAGTGACGATCACGAGAACGTACCTTTTCCCCTGATGGTCACTCTTAGTAACAAATATAATTGTAGGTAATTTATTGTGACACGTGTAATATTTTTTTTGTACTTTTTTTAAATCCCAATTAATAAAATACTAACAAAGTCTCATTCGGCCTTTTGGCTGTTGCAAAATGAACCAAACCGAAGTCACATTCGATCATTTGTCTGTTTCAAAATGAACCGAACCGAAGTAACATTCGACCTTTTTGGCTGTTTCAAAATGAACCGAAGCCATGCAATTTTCCTAAATAAAACGTTTTTTTTTTTTACTTTGGCAGGGTATCTCGTTTATTCTGAGTTATAATACCAATTTACGAAATCAACGAAGCGACTATGATAAACAGTATAGGTATTTGAAAATGGCAGTCAAATGTTTTAACACTGGGATCTGTGAGCCACAAACGAGTCGAACTTTGGTGAAGTACTGATGTATTAGGGAAATCCACACACTCGATGTTTCAAACGAGAAACTTCTCAGACAATACACTAAAATATTTTTAGAATACCACGTAATAGACAGAGTACCGAATAACCGTGGGCTGATTTTAAGAAGCCTTTGTAAAATAGACTTAAATTTGCAATCGGAAATTTTGCATTAAAATAATTTACATCAGCAAAAAACTCCGTGTCATATACCTTATACTTATAACAAGGCTCATCCGTAGCTACATAAAGCCCCGAGCGCGCCTTCCACCACACAGTCTTAATTTTTGCTAAGTTTGCATAAATATTTGACGTGTGTATGTATTTTGAAAAAACACTCAACTGTTCTTTGGTTCTTCATGAAATGTTATCGTTTACACAATTTATGAACTTTTTAGAAGAAATTTCAACTGAGCAAAGAATAGTTAAAAAAACTACTTTACTAGGTATATCTTATCATTATACATATTTTAAAAAGAAAAAGAATATTAAAAATGCTATAAATATTACTAATATTCCCCTTAACCACTCGTGGTAAGCTTAAATTGCTTGTGTTACGAGTGGTTCACGCCAGTATTCGAATGGCGGATTCGAACCCGCGACTTTTTTGAGTTCGCGGTCCGCGTCCTGCCATTAGGCTACTGTCGCTTCGCTTAAATATCTATGTAAAAGTAATTTTAATTAATCAACATCTTTTCACTAAACCATATTTTCAGCGCCATATGTCACTGCTGCAGCCGCAACGGTCGGCGCTCTCGGTGCCGCGTATTATGCTTATAATGTATACCAGGAATCGCGGAAACCAAAGCTGCCTAATGAATGGAAACAAGTCGGTACAATTAAGGACATTTATGTATACCCAGTCAAGTCATGTGGCCCGGTTTTGTTAAATAAGACTGAATGCACTACTTTGGGCCTTAGGGATGGCTGGCTCAGGGACAGGTATTAAATTAGTTAAACTAACACGGTGTCATAAATTTTACAGTTAAAAAAAACATTGACTCGTTTACAGAGTGTTAATGGTAGTTGATGAAAAGAATAACTTTATAACTGCCCGAGCTTACCCTGAGTTACTGCTCGTGCAACCATCATTAAAACGTTCAATTCTTACCTTGAACCATAGTGATATGGAGACACTTAATGTTAATTTGGCAGAGGTAAATATTGATTACACTACTTTACATGTTTTCTTTTATATTAATGATTAACAAAACTTTCGGAGTTCTGGGATACTTTTGTCAAAAATAAACATACAACATACAATAACGTATACAATGTATTTTTATTAAACGTTATGTTGGTTAACTACAGTTCTTGATTAACCACGTTTGCTTTTAGTAGAAGATAAACCGTCATTTGGTGCACTCAATCTGACAGCTTGGTGACAAATGAGGTAACAGGCCACCTGATGTATGTGATTCTTGCAGCCCATGAAAATCTACACTAATTTCAAATCAGATGAAATCCTCATATCGTGATAATTGTGTCTGTTATACCTGTTAGCTCTCCTTATTCGTTTAACTCATCTTTGGTGCTGACAGAAATAATGAAGGTGTACTGGTAACTAACCCGTGTGAACTCGGAGACAGGCTTCGCTAGGTAGTGATTATGGCATGTGGAGAACAACTTGTTGTACAAACTTAATAGTATTAGATTGAAACTTAATTACATTGTCTTATGGTTGTATCTAAATGCCATCTAACAGCATTCGGCACGGCGCCAATAAGTGTCGGTATAAAACATTTGCAAATGCGTTTAGTTTTTCACTTCACCTTGCGGTTTCGCACCTCATAAATTTAATTATTTTGTTTTGTATTATTATTTCTATTGCATTTTGTCTTATTACTTCTCATTGGATCTGCTTTTTAGGTGATAGAAATTCAAAACCCTAAACCTGCTACTGTATGGGGTGTAACTGTTCCGGTGTACGACTGTGGCGGGAACGCTAGTGAATGGTTTTCACGGTGAGTAGTATACAAGTACATTTATAAAGTTCTTTAACAGGTGACATCTGAAGTCATAATAAATATATGTCTCTCAAATTAGAACCAACCTCATAGCACAAAAGGAGCCAACTGCTAAATATGAATGTTTACATTATATTTATGTCCAAATTACGAGAACTTATGTATCATAATAGCGATGCTTTTCCGGCAGGTTAGTAATAGTTAAATGCATTACATGCCGTTTATCATTGTATGATAGTTAACATGTTTGAAGATCCTTCCATAGTTATCCGGATATTTACTCAACACCACAATATTAAAACCATTGATTTCAGATTACTTAACCGGTCTGCCGACAACTTTAGACTGGTGTATTATGCTTCTAATAAAAGCCGTGAATTAAGAAAATCTTCAAAAAAATTCTATAATTTCACCAAAAATGATACCGTAAGTATCCTTGTGTATTTATAACAACTTATAAGCGGAGTGAGTGTATATATATATATATATATATATATATATATATATATATATATATATATATATATACACTACTTGATGTGTACGTATAAATTATATTATCTATGTCAAAACAAATATGAAATACAGTCAAACCTGGATAAGCGAGACTTCAATGGAGCACAATATCAATCTAGCTTATAGAGGTTTCTCACTGACCCAAGTTTCTCGATAAGGCAGGTATAGTTGCCGACACGAGTGGTGAGCACAGATAAACTGTGGTGGGAGGTAGGTACACTGTTGGGCAAAATTATTGGATACCTTTATTATTTCAATCCGTAATTTAATATTTTCGGCGACTTTTATGAAAATGTTTACTCGAACACATCAACTTTTACTTTGATACAGTAATGTTGCAGATATTCATGTCCTTTATTTTATTATGTACTATAAAGTATTTAATGTATACCTGGTGGTTAGAATTGATTATTTTATTAAGAAGAAGGAAGAGGTGATATGCCTTCCATAAAATCTGGTGTTGCGATGCGCCGTACAGTAGCTACCATAGAGTAAAGTAATATATACAGAAAAAGAGAGCCATCTCCTAGGATTTTTTGTCACCTAATATGAATAGTGTCGCCGTCTGGTATCATATCCCTTGAACTAATCTCAATATCATGTTGACTATAGATAGCTGTACTATGTAGTTATGTATATTGTCTATATTTATATTTTGAGGGATTAGGGTTCAATTAAAGACGTATTATAGATTTCAGTAATATTAACATTTATTTTTATTATATATATTTAACATACACGATGTAAAAGCGTCTATTCCGCAAAATACAACACCAAACCAAATTATTGTCCACCGGGTTACCGGAATGATAAATGAAAGCGTCTATTTCGCACAACACTACACAAACTTACAATGTGGTTCCAGCATGAAAATCTAAACAGACAAAGAAACAGAGGGCTATAGACACACTTTCCCAACTCAGTACCAAACTTATTGTAGCAACAACCGAAAATCACTTATCAATTATAATAAAACAACCTTGTTAAGACGCCGGTAGCCATTATGTTGCATATACCATAAGTTGCTACCTACTTGCCAGTTCGAGAATAATCCAGAATTGGTGATAGTCACCATCTAGCGCACCCTTTTTAGAATTTTGTTCGAAAGTTTATGCGGATATAGTAAAAGATGGTACTAGTGTCTTTGCAAATTATTGAACCCAAAAAGTATGGAAGTGTACCCCCCTTGGTAGCTACTGAGACATTAGTCGCCTCAGCACGTCTGCCTTTTATATACGTCTATGATGTTTTTCCGCAGTACCTAATTTTTTCATATAAATTCTAAACACTGAATAGCCAAAATTGGTCGGGATTGTCTCATTTAACGCACCGAATTCTTCCTTCTCTGCATGTTTAGACCAAACTATCTGAACACTCAAATTATAACAACAAAAATAATTAAAAACAAGAAATAACAAAAACAATTAATAACAAGGAATACACAAACAACAATTAACAAGGAGCTGACAAAAAAAATTAACGAAAATAAACTTATTAAAAAAGTTATCATTAAAATGATTGCTCTGAAGTGTACGGAAGCCGAATGAAACGTTCGAAACCAATAGACGACGAGAATCGACTGATGAATCAATCACGTTGAGCGTCAGCGTGGTCACGTCGTATCGACCAATAAAAAGTGTGCTCACGACTTATGTCGGCAGTTATACATGGGTAGCGTTTCTCTCTTATAGAGGTACGCCAGCAATAACAAGTCACAGCAAGTACGAATGTAGTAAATATGTAATATGATAAAATTAGGTGAATAATATGCACAACATATATTATGTACATATATATTTTAATAGTGTGTATATGTTACGTTCATTAGATTTCGACATATAAGTACTTTATAATGGTAGGTATCAAGATGCTTACGAAAACAAAACAAAAATTCATGCACTATGTATTTTTATTGTAGCTATAATTCCTCCTAAATAATATAAATAAATAAAGCTCGACTGTCGCTTATAGAGGTATAGATAAATAGCAGTCTCACTTACGGAGGTCCATGAGGGAAAAACGACTCTCTCTTACAGAGGTTTCTGTTTCTCGCTAATAGAGGTTTTGGGAGCTTAAAATGACTCACTTATAGAGTTTTCTCACTTATCCAGTTCTCACTTACCCAGGTTTGACTTTATATACGAAAATAAGAGCTTACCTTACCTCCACACTAGGGTCTTTACCACCCGGCCAAACACTCGTCGAGTGGCATAGGAAGCAGCGAGGAAAGGAGGCAGAAACGTAGGGTGATCACAGTACTCGTCATGCCGCACATCGTGCTCCTCGTCCTGCCCATCGCTCCCTGTTTTGTCAGTTTTTTGGTGCGAGTCAAAGGACTGGCAATATGAGTGCGAGTGGCTGGCCACACACTCGCACAAACGCAGTCCGAATCAAGCACTCGTTACGGAAGCACGTCACGTGTTATTTAAAAATCATAAGTAGTGTATAGTTCATAAAAGACAGCTTGATCTCTGCGACAGCTGTCAGTAAAAATCACGCCTATGAAGTCCTGAATTTCTTAGTAGTAGAGACAGTACCTGTCAATGTCATACTTTATGGGCATGCACTAATTAGGTCGGCATGCCCATAAAGTATGACATTGACAGGTACTGACTGTACTACTAAGAAATTCAGGACTTCATAGGCGTGATTTTTACTGACAGCTGTCGCAGAGATCAAGCTATCTTTTATGAACTATAACTATCATCATCATTTTTTATAACATTGATATAATTGGCTATAATAAATATGCATAGCTTGCACGCTGAAACATTTTCAACACACATTGTGTTGCATGCATTGCATTGCATCACAATGAGTGAGGTCTGTTTGGTCAATGCGCAATGATGCATAGGAGAGCATTGAACTCACACAGTTACTACTAATAACAATAGGGCTGTGACGAGCTCTCCATCACCTCTCTCCTTGCAACCACGTCTCTGTCTCTGCAGCATCTTTCTGAATTATGGGTTCACAGAAAGAGGCTACAACCCTCCAAGCCGCATCCCTGGTCGGCATCGCCGACACTGCTGCTGGCACGTACGGCCCATCCGGTGAAGCTTATCAGGAACTGCTACTCTGGTACTTATGCTGGGCGTACTGTGAGTGTATGCTTATGAGAAGCAGTCATAGTAGTGTACTCGCATTCGGATGAACAATTTTATTAAAAAATGTGGGAAAAGCATGGCCATCATTTGAATTCAACTTTTAGTAACTATAATAGTAATTCACCATTATATATATGTTTTAAAAATTACACTTAAAATTGGTTAAAAAAGTACTATAAAACATGCTCGAGCTTGAGTCATCGAAATGTATTGTACAGCAGACATAGTAAGAGTGCGCTGACACCATTGCCTTATATATTACTAGCGTAGCTGACACACGGTCGCATTGCACCCTGCTTCGCAGTCCCGCTGTTGCTCTGCACAAGTACATTCGTTTAAAAACTTTATTCTCTTTACACTGATAATATCATGTATTTAATTGATATATTGTTTCAGGGTGCTTTTCCGGATGAGGTACCGTTCAATTTGATTAACGAAGCTTCCGTAGATGAGCTTAATAGTCGCCTGAAGGATTACCAGGTTACGCCACGCAATTTTAGACCGAACTTCGTCGTTAATGGAGCCAAACCATACGATGAAGATAATTGGAAATACGTTAAAATCGGAGAAAACATTTTTGAAATCATAAAACCTTGCACTAGGTGAGTAAAGAATGAAATTAGAAAAGTAAATAAAGGTATAAAGTTACTGGTTGCGCGGAAAAAGAATCGGGTACTCTCACATTTTGTTCGGTTGGTTATTGTTTGCCAGTGTCTCTTTCCATCCCATATCCACGCATTCCTTCCGCACGCACTGAAGGGGGGGTCTAGAATGTGGTGCCACCTTTTTGGCCAATAGGAAGTGAGCCCCGCCGAGGTGGAGGTGGGAAAAATGACCGTCTCATATATGGATTCCCACTGCCGTCGCTCACCCCCCTTTCTTACATCTTAGTCGAAGAGAACCGCTAGTTGTGTTCGTACCTCTGTGGCAGTCGCGCCACAGAACAATCGAGAAGTTACCGCCTCGCATAGTGCGAGTTATCGTCGCGCACCGCCCCTCTTCCAACGCACCACACACAAGACCAGGAGCGTCGTCCACGAGGTCGCAAGGAACCCCACCCCGGTAAGTGCTTCTAATTAATTTAACCGTTTTTTATTTCCTTGTCGCATTTCTCTCCCTTAGCGGTTCAAGTGGAAACTCCTTCGAGACACTGGCAAACCAGTAGATGGATTTTGGGATAGCAAGTGCATCGTCTAAGGCTGCCGCGTGGACGGCCATCGGCACCGGCCATCTTGTTTTGGTTGTAAGAATCCGCACATACAGTCCACATAGTAACATCTCAAGGCTCGAGCTGGGAATCGAACCCGAGACTCCAATCACCGAAAACATTTTTGGTCATTGGCCCCACCATTTATCTGGTTCCTTCGAGCCAGATTCGAGGGGACATCCTGTCGCTCAACCAGTTACGTTGATATTTTGTATGGTGATATTTTGTATTATACTTCCTTTTTGGCCAAAATGATAAAAAATAAATAAACATCTTTCCGTAGCCAAAATATTTAGAAGAGTTACATCTATTCAAAAAATTATGTACGCAGGAATTAAAAACACAAATTAAACACGACAAAATCCGTAAAATTAGTTAAATCAAAAAAATATGCTTTTGTGGCGGATTCTTTCATCAACACGCTACCCTAGTGCGAGTTCGAAGACTACACATTTCTTCAAGATTCCTCACAATGCTTCACCGCCATGACGCCAAGCATGAGCCGAGCATAGCGCTCTGAATAACAATATCCTTAGATTAACTAGCTTAATGATGGCCACTCCTCCGCTGTGATGAAGCCTGGTAAATTCTCCCTAAGCCAGCCAGGTTTTGTGTGAGGGCGTCGAATCTTGTTGAAAAATCCAAGGTTTATTATCGTTAAAGGTAGTGGATAGCGGTTTTACTACCGCTTCCAAAATGTCTTTTGAAAATTTTGTGCCTTAATTTTGACCCCTGGTTCATAAAAATCCAGTGCAGTGACCTCCTCATAAAAAACACCCCACCAAACCATAACACTTGCAGGGTGATGCGGCCGAAAAACATTTCTTGCCACAGTCTTTGAGCTTCTCGCGTAAATTTTATCGTTCTGTCGGTTAAATTCCACAGTAAACACTTTCTCATCTGTAAAGAGAATTTTTTTTGCATCGTGTCTCTTCAACAACATTCGACAGCGACCCTACCACAATTTGCAAAGGGATTATTGGGATAATAAACTTTTTGTCGACTGTAGGCCTTTACTGTAAGATTATATTTCAATATCCTATTGATAGATATTCTTGATATGTTCGTCTGAATAGTCAACTTCTTCTGAGTGCGGCAAGGATTTCGACGATGACGTTCGCGTATTAACTTGATGTTGGCAGGCGTCCTTACGCTGCATGGTGGTCTTCCACTTTTGGGTCTGTCTTGCACTGATAACGTCTTCCTGTATATCTTCAAAGTACCTATAGTAAACAAATTTCTACTAGCACCTAGCTGTTTGTAAAAATCTCCATAGGTTTATTTTCCGTCTTAAACAGTGAAATCACCGTAGAACGCAAATCTTTACTCGCCACCATTTCGATAAAAACTAAAAAGCTGAAAATAATTTTTGCTTATAAATTCTCCGATCATTCCAATTTCAAAATATTTAAAGAAAGAAATTAAATACGAGCTTATTCTACTTTCAAAATTTGATTTTTTTTAAAATCGTCTTAAGACTTATGAACACACGAGGTACAATACAGCATGTATCCTTTTCAGAACCGGAATTGAAACTTTATCATCTCTACTTAGTATTAAACAAAACGTTTCCCGCCGTCTGTACGCTTCGATCCCTGCGCAATGTATTTTGATTCAGTTTTCATCAATAGACAGAATGATTCAAGAGGAAGATTTATGTTTATTACATGTATATGTTATCTAGATCTAAAAATCGCTTTTGCAAAACCAGGGTGGATCGCTGGTTATGAACATATTACTTGGAAGAGACCTTGACAATGATGTAAAGTTTCATTCATTGTCGTACTCCGTTTTTATTGTTCAAAAACGTAATCGGTAAATATTTGTATAAATACTACATCATTAAAACAATTTTCAGGTGCGTTATGACTACTATTGATCCTGAAACTGGCATCCGTAATGCTAAAACAGAGCCATTGGAAACTTTAAAGAGGTAACTTAATTCTTTAAATTTATACGATACAAGAAGCAGTGATCATTTTTATAACACTCGCCTTCACATTATTTTACAAAACAATGTGTAAAAAACATTGACATCTATTTTCGGACCATTGTCAATCGAGTACGAAGGTCAAAGAATTAAGTTGTTTACATAGATACACATCTCACACTTAATCATAAACAGTACCGATTGTATTTATTGCTGTACTCAACTGCTATACATCGCTGTTTACTGGATACGAGGCATCTTAGTCCTCAAGGATAACAACGTATTTTGATTTTTAATCGATGATAGATGTAGATGTCTACGGGCTATCTTCTTCTAGGACTATGTGCTCACCAAATATTCTTGAGTGCCACGACAAAATTAGAACTCATTGAACAAAATTATATGACGTAGTGATAAGAAAATGATTTAAAAAAACATTTCCAATCTGGTACTTGTTGTAAGGATTCTAGGCCTTTTTTGTCGATTACTGGTCATGCAACAATTTAGTGTAAGGTTTTCAAGTACGAAATTTCAGTTTTAAAATACTGACTATATACTTTTGGAACCTCAAATTCAAATTCGGTTCATATTAGAGCATCTGTGAATATGGGAATTTATAATGTATGTAAATATTTTGGAATATGAATTAAGTTGGTTCCACAACGTAATACATTTGTACTAAGCAAAGCATCAAACAATATTGATTTATGTATTTTACAAAAATGATACACTTATTCAATGTTTCGATTTTTAAGTTTTTACACTCACGCCTGTTACCCGGAGGGGTAAGCAGACTACAGTCTACAGACTTCCATTTAGCACGATCCTGACACACCTCTCTCGCCTCCTCTACGTCCATATACCTACGCATACAAGCTCGTCGGTTAAAGGAACTCCTAATATAGCCCATTTTTGATATATCGCCAATTTGGTCGATAAACTTTCGCCTAGGACGTCCCTCTCAGACTTTGCCGTTCACTTCTGTAACATAAATTTGCTTTATTCTTTCCAAATAACCAAAGCACCGAAGCGTTCCTTCCATAATCCTGGTCACAACATCTTGCAAACCACACTCTTCTCTTATCACACAATTTCTCACGCTGTCACTCAGATTCAGCCCTAACATACTCTTTTAACGACCGCATTTCTACTGCGTTAATTCTACTCTCGTGCTTCTTCTGCCACACCCAACTTTAACTACCAGGGACCAACACAGCATTGTGAATTGCCATACGTGCCTTTTTTGAATTTGAAGTACTTATAATAGCATTATCATAGGTTTTAACTTCATCAGCGTAAGTGTACAAGCTATGCTCATTTGTGTGTCATAAAAAGTGACTAAGAGAAATGTTAAGAAAGTATAGGTCGTGCCACGTAAGATGAAATTAAATAGAGTTCACTGCGCATGTACAATCAAGCAGAAAAATGAAAATTTTATTATGGCATTTTAATATGTAAAAAGTCAAAGGTCAACATTATAACTACACATCAAAGTCTCCACGAAAACTGAACGATATATTTATATATCATCGTTAGGTTTTAACTGCTTCTAAATAATAATCTGCATTTTAAGTACACTTAGTTAAAGAAATAAAACGTTTTGTATTTGTATTTGTAATTGCTGTTTAAACTATACTATGCGATAGCCTTAGATTATAAGGATATTTTACATGCAATAATTTGCAAAAAAAAATCATCTTGTAAAAAATAACAAAATATTTACAACTTTATACAATATACTGCGAACTACGCTATTTTAAATAGTCCCAAAACAATTTATAAAGTAATAAATATTTTCCCACTATTTGAAAATATTATAGAGCAATATTTTTAAGTACATAAGTAATCGCAAAAATTTTAAATTTCATAACAGGTAATCGCTAACACTTTCGATATCGATAGTACACAAGACGACACAAGAAGGTGCGCGGGCGACGGGACGTATGAGAAACTACTTGGGAGTAGCGCGTCGCCCGTTGCTACGAGGGTGGATTGAAAAGTACTCGGCCTAACCAAGAAAATAAACACATACTAAATCAGTTATATTTTTATTTTTCTACATAATCACCATCAAGTTCAATACACTTTTGCGACCTCCCCTTCCAAGCATTTAGACCGTTGAAAAAAAATGATTCTTCCTTAGAGTCAAAATATGCGTCTACAGCTGCTTTGACCTCGTCGTTTGTCGAAAATCTTTGACATCCCAAGTGCTTTTTTAGGTTAGGGAACAGAAAGAAGTCTGATGGTGCCAGATCAGGTGAATACGGCGGATGCGGTATCAGTTCAAAGCCACAGTTGTGAATTTCAGCCATTGACTGTACTGACGTGTGAACACGGGCGTTATCTTGATGAAACAGGACTTTTCTTCTGAGCATTGCTCGACGTTTTTCTTTTATTTCCTCTCGTAAACGACGTAGTAAGGTGCAGTAGTAATCAGAGTTTATAGTCTGACCCCTTTCAAGATAATCAATCATATTCACACCTTTCGAGTCCCAGAATACTGAAGCCATCACCTTATTTGCCGACAAAATCGACTTAGCCTTTTTAGGGGGTGGTGAACCAGGTCTTCTCCACTGTTTTGATTGTTGTTTTGTTTCCGGTGTACAGTAATGAACCCATGTTTCGTCCATAGTAACAAAACGATTCAAAAAATCATCTGCATCGGCTTCAAATAACTCCAAACAGTCGCGTGAAATAGTCAATCGCGTCCTTTTTTGTTCAACTGAAAGCAGTCGCGGAACCCACCTCGCAGACACCTTGTGGAAACCCAACTCGTTGACAATGATGTTTTGAGTTCGTTCATAAGAGATGCCTATAATCTCGGCTATCTCTCTAATTTTTAATCTGTGGTCTCCCATTATTAAACCAAGTACTTTTTTAATATTTTCGTCAGTAGTTGATGTCGAAGGCCTTCCAGAGCGGGGTTCATCTTTCACACTCTCTCTACCACGCTTAAATTCTGCTATCCATTTTTTGACGGATGAATATGACAGAGCACAATCGCCTAATGTACTGACCATGTCATCATGGATGGCTTTTGATGATAGCCCCTTCTTATGGAGGTACTTAATGACGGCACGCTGCTCGATTTGCTCCATTCGCGGAAATTATGTCCGATTACTTTGTTAATAAATTTATAAAATCACAACTAATTATCGCACACGTTTCGAACTTCACACAATGAACTAGTCTGAACTGAACTAAATAATGTGGGTAGATTTGATTTTTAGAATTGAATGGATCTGTCTTAGGCCGAGTACTTTTCAATCCACCCTCGTATGGTTTCGCTTCCCCGTACTTCACACCTCACCGTGCCGACACCTATTTTTCGGTTCTGCGCACTTCCATCACACGTGGCGTTACCTATACCTCATGATCTCCGATAGAAATATCCAGTTTACGCCAGACGTAAAATATCTAGACCGTTTACGGGGATAGCGACTGTTGCTACGATGATAAAATCGTTTGCTAAGCGTGTTGATTACGGCAACTCTACAACGTAAGAGACATGCTCCGCGATGAATACATAATTCTAATAAATATTTTGAATTTAATTTAACTTTTAGAACTTATACAAATTGCAGGGAACGGGGAGTATTACAGTGCTTTAATAAATGTACACACAAGCGCACAAAGACTCACTTGTTCTCACTTTTCCATAATCTATAAAGCCTAAACATCGTTTATTATTAAGCGAATAATTCTAGTATTTATGTATATACATAATATATGTAATTGATTTTTAACTGTTCTATTTGCACTAAACTTTGTATAAATAATGTTTTACTTTCCAAACTTATCGAGATGGTGTCATCCTTGAGAAAATTATATTTTTTCTAACATCAAACAAAGCTCTCAGTCGCCCACTCGTATATATACACTGTGGTCGACCAGATACTGCTAGGTATGGAGTGTAGAAGTAAGGAGTACCAACTTCCATACCAAGAAAAAGTGGGCAACTGTAAGCAGTAAATAACAGATCAAAAACTCTCCACAACAGCGCTGGAGTAGCTACTGGGATGAAATGAACTTTGCAGTTGTCGACGGTTTGAAGTGTGCTGCTTAACTGCTCAGTAGCTCTAAAATGTAAAATAATTTTATTTAGTAAATATAACCTCGGAAAAGTCGTCTATCCCACTAATATTTTTCGGCACGTTCTTTAAAATTTAGACCGTAGCTATAGTGGCGCCACCCTTATTTAACGGTTTTCTATGGACACTTTTTAATACACAGTCTGTACTCCTTACTTCTACACTCCATACTGTACTGCTGGTTTAATCACAGTATCTTAGACACAAGACTTATTTTAATCTTTTCAGTTATCGTCAAATAGCAGAGCCTGAAGAACGCAAGGCAGCAGGGAACTCACCTCGCATGGGAATACAAATGTCGTTGCGCTCGGAGCCTGGCGGCGTTATTTCTATAAATGATCCCGTATATGTTCCACAATAGCTTTTTGTAAGCATATTAATCAAACAACATTACGGCCGATTATTACTGTAATTCTTACATAGTTATAATTTACGTAATTTTTAATGTATCCATTTCTCTTCTAAATAAGGTTTACTTACAAAAATTAGGTGTCAATCCAGAATATACTGTTGTTACAATAAATAAAATTTTGATATATTAATGCTTTTATTTCGATGAAATTCGGTCTAGAGGACATTCTGTATAAAGGAAGTTATATCCTATATTCCATTTTTGGGCACATGCCTCCTCTTAGTTCTGAGTTTTTCTTTCCTTCATATATATATAGTTGTGGTCACATAATTAAGAACGACTTGAAGTTCTAAAAGTTTTTTATTTAAATCATGTCGTACACAGAGATCTGCACCTTCTGAGAAGCAACTAGTTATGTTATAAAATATAGAGCAACGTGGTTTAGGAATAAAGAATAAAATCGCTAATTTTTTTTTTCACACTTATTTATTTTACTAAAGTAACTCATTCAAATAATACTGAAACTGGACAAATAATTGAGAACGATTTATTAAACTGCTCGGAAATTGTTTTGTATGACACATTAATACATTTTTAACTAAAATTAATAGTCAATAGCATATCCACGGCTTTTACAGCTTTACATCGGCGAGGCATTGACTCTATTAATTTTTGACATTTCGCAAGAGAAATAGAGTTCCATTCTTCTAAAAAAAACGTAATACAGCTCTCTTAAATTTCCACACTGTGAACCACAGATTCTCTATTGGGCTTACATCTGGGCTGTTAGCTGGCCAGTCTAAGACAGAAACTGATTGCGCTGTAAGAAATTCCTTTACGGTGCGTGCAGTGTGATTTGGATCATTGTCATGCTGAAACGTCCAAAATAACCGGTAGAACGTCTTCACCATAAGGTAACATTGTTTCTTCCAGTATATTTTTGTATTGGAACTGATCCATGTTACCTTCTATCAACTTTACAGGTCCAACACCATGTCCAGAAAAGCACCCCCAGATTTTCACATTTCCACTACCATGCTTTAATGTAACTGTCGTGCACTTAGGGTTGAATGCTGTGTTCGGGGTACGTCGTACATATCGTTTTCCATCAGAACATACTCTGCTTATTTTCGTCTCGTCTGAAAAAAGTACATTTTTCCACTGTGTTTCCTTGGAGGTTTTTAACCATTTTTTCTTCTACCAAACGTCTTCGAATAGTGCGTGCTGAGATTGCTGGAGGGTTGTTTTCACCAAAATTATCTTTTCTCAACTCATTGGACCCTTTAAAAGGATTTTGTTTTGCCATACGAACGATGTTTCAGTCATCTCGAGAGGAGTTGTTTTTCTCTGTTTAGTTACATGTGGAACATTTGAAGTAGTTTGGTACGTAGCAAAATGCTTTACATCGTGGAAAGCCATCGTTTTTGAATACTACAGGTGGTCGGCTATCTTTTTATAAGACCAATTCTTCCGGCGAAGTTTTATTATTACATCCATTGTAGATTTATCACAACTTCTATTTTTTCATTTTGTTTTTTCCTAAGAAGCAATCACTTTCAATCTTTTACAGCACTAAATGGCGCCAAAATTATACAAACAGTAACAAATCAACTGAGTGTTCTCTATTTAAATTTGAATAAAGGTCATAAATTATTTAGCGTTCTTAATTACGTGACCAGCCAGTAAATAGAAATTGAATAGAAATAGAATGTTTAGAAGTAGTGTAAAAAGTTTGTCTATTTATTTTTAGCTAATCATGTGTATCAATAAATACAGTGGTATTATGGAAAAGTTTTACGATACCGAGAAATAAAAAAAACTGAATGCAATTAGTTTTGTGTTTTAGTTTGAAAAAATCTTCCCCTTATATCAGCGTTCTTAATTATATGACCACCACCGTATAAAGGAAAATAAAAAACATGGACTTAGGTAGTAGTTACTAAAGGGCATTTGTGAGTAGAGAATACAAAGTCAAAATGTTTTAATACTGTGAATACGTTTATTTTTCAATTAAATACGCAGGATTTGCGCGCAAATGCCCTTGGATAGTTCACTTTCAACAGTAACCAGCATCCGAGCGAATGTGCCTCCACCTGACCCTTTTGTGAGGTGCTCTGGATTCACAACCACGCAGCCATTCACTTCCTGTAAACATATAAGCAAATGTTTAATTTTGCCACTAATAAGAATTGAAGTGGCGTATCTGACTCGCCTATGCTTTTCTATACGCTATAGGTTTTGAAATAACGAAATGATATTAATGAAAAAAAAAAATGTACACAGGTTCATAACGCACCGCATGATAAAACATATATATTTAATTATAAAGATTAAGTCCACAGCTCGATTTTGTCATCTCATTATGTAAAATTTGCTTTAATCCCCACGATTCGAAGGCGGTTTGGCGTTTGCAGTAACAAACTCTACTGAGGCGCTGCTCTCCGTCACCAGACCAGTGACGGGGAGCAGCGATCTTTGTTCAATTTTTAATTGCCAAAATGATTAGTAGGAATATGAATAACTATTTTCGTAGCTATCAAGAATTGTAATTTAATATATATTTGTTACTTTTTCTCCACTACTTTCTACTTCATTTCTCTTTCAATTATATTTAACGAACACTTATAGTGTTAGCTATTTTTTATGGAACTAAAAAAAATATTTCCTAGAAATAATGTGTGGTCAGACGACAATGTAACAAATGAAAGGTCAGACGTAAATACCCAGACGGGTATTTTACGTCTGACCCAGACTAAGTACCTAGTTATACCACCATCTATCGGCTGCCATAAGATCTTCTTGATACTTTCCATAGTTACCTCTTACGACACCCACAGGAACAAATTGGGTAATGGATTCATTTCGCCGCCACTCAAACGGCCTTTTGCGGCCATTTATAACAATGGTTTACCAATTAAGTTCAGTTAATAAAAAATTTAAATAAGCTATGTTACCTCTTCAAGCCCAGTAAAAGGGAAACCGATTTCGCCAGGGTTTTTTTTTAATTACATATTTAGCAATCAGTAGTAATAAAATCAGTATACAAATTTTATATTTAAGTTCAAATATATTGATAAAGATATACAGTTATTGCAGTTTTTAAAATACGAGTAAATAATAGAGATGGGCCGAATATTCGTTTTATATTCGGTATTCAGCATATTCGGCATCTTTACCGAATATTCGGCAAAATCACCGAATATTCGGTTACGTAGTGTCCAATGTATTGAAATGTACAAATTGAGTAATGCAATGTCGGTTACTGTTGAAAGTATATTTTATTTATGGGTTAAATCTACTTACTCTAGAGTGCCTCAAATGCATAAATCTACACATTTATGTTTTTGAGACACTGTAGATTTATTGATTTATATTATATTTTAGCATTATAGCAAACAGAAACTTGAACAAACAAAGACACATTACATTACCTTAATACATTTCACTTTACTTTAGTCGAAGTTTCTTTAAAATAAGTACAAATAGTAAATCTCCTGCTGCACATTTTTATCACATAATTATCAATTTTCACTAAGAATAAAACAACGAAATACTTTTTTATCACATAGAATAGTCAAAAGATAAGCATTTGCCGGCAATTTGCTCAGTACTAGATGATGCAATAACTGTCAGGTGTGGCGGGGAGCGAGAGGCAGGGTCCGGCGCTAATCCTCCGCGCGCTTTACGGTAACAAGTTTCGATATAAATTGGTTGGGTCCCGAGGTTATCCTGCCGAATAATGTTCGGCCGAATATTCGGTTCGGTAAAAATTTTACCGAACATTCGGGCGAATATTCGTATTTGGTAAAGCCCATATTCGGTCCATCCCTAGTAAATAAGGCTTCTACTTTTATTTGAAATATTTTAAATTGTATGTGATTTATGGGCAACAACTAAGCGGTACGCGCGCGTCTTGGTGTGCGATCCATTTCACGTTTTTGTCAAACGGGCGACCCTTAGGAATATTTTTTTGTGCGTAGTAAAATAGTAAGATGTTAGATATATATGTATAACAATCAGTTAAAATAATGCATCGCCACGAATTTTGAATTTAAAAGATAAAAAGGACAGATGTTTCAGATTTATTTTAATTAATTTTGATGATGATCATGATTTTAAACTTACCTTGACAAAATATCTGAAGTTGGAGGGTAGAACTAAAACGTGGGGAGTGCAAGGTAACTGAGCGTGGGCAGTCCACAGAGCGGCGTCCAAACATAAGCCGGGCGGTGGCGGCCACAAAGGATAATACGTCTGCTGCATAAGTATGTGACTTGCTAAACGAGCAAGTTTGTCGCCTCCCATTCCCCTGCGAATTGTATAAACAAAAACATTAAACACATGGGAAAAACTTAGATGATATCCCTTAAATCTAAAGTTAATTGATTTTCAAACAGTAAGCTTTAAATTGCTTTATACTATACACTAGTAAAAACTGGTAAGCTTACAGCCCATAACTTTTCTGGAAATGGCATATGGGCATGTGTCTGCATAACAAATAAGTTTCTGGCAACTGAAAAATGCCAATATCAAAATGCATAGAGAGCAAATTCATGGAAACCCTTGTCGGATACAAAAGAAATTGACTCTTCAGACGTACATCAGTGAAAAGGATGGTTAAATATGATCTTGACCCTTTCCCTGTCCCATGAATCATATTAGAACATTTAGATTGTTTGGCGACAGGAAACCTGTTAAACTAAAGACCTACTGTTAAAGAAAAGTGCACTATTGTCTTAAAAAAGTCTGGAACGATGTCGGAATCTTATTTTATTATACTCGGTGGAATCAAGTAACTGATATTAACTAGCTTTTGTTTGTTATTAGTATTCATAGTAAGAATGTCTCTTCGCATTAAAGCTATTTATATTTTTGGTGCATTGTACAACATTTAATACATTTTCAAAAATATATTGAAAAGCCAAAATAATTTTCCGCTCACTAAATGTCGCTAGTCGGGACTGTGGTGAACTTATTGTCACATTGAAGAGTTGCGTTTCCAATAAAAA